GAAACATCATGTCCAACAAAAGGCAGGGTTAGTGTAAGAAAAACCTTCATGGTTACACAACACACACTTTTATTACATACTTATATATGAGTGAAACATATCTCACGTTATAGCTTTACATTTCAGCATAAACGTATCTTCATGTATCAGAAAAATGTATTACTACAACAGTATTTTGTTAACATATGATATATGTTATAGTATATGCTATATCACTGTACTCTCTTTCCTTTCTGTCATTTAGAAGAATGTACTCCTTTCATTTAAATAAGTTTAAAGAACGACTAAAAGTAGTTATTTAAGTAATACTGATTTACATCAGTTTTGATTTGACTCAACTGTTAACTGAAAATACTGAACAGAATGTTAGGGGAACACACAGACGTCTGGAATATGAGACGTCTCTGTCTGCTCTCTGTCACTTTTCAAATGTACATTTTTTTATGCTAAATGTCTGTCTTTAGTCACTTTTACTGTTTCTTTATTACTTTTCACAAGAAGTCATGCTAACATGCACACTCTGAAGCAATTCCACATTTGTAGAGTCTCACAGAATCAATGCTACTTTCTTAAAAATGGTCAAACACAAGGTGAGGATCATCGAACCACTGGATATTGCCACTAACATGTTGTCACTAAAAATGATGAATGTATTAACATGCAACACACATAGAAAGGAAACATATGCACTTGGAAGCATCTCTAAGTTAATAACATATATATCATTTACATGTAATAAATAAGAATTACACCTGTCCTAAGTTAAAGAGATATTGCACCAAACGTTTGAACAATTGATAGTCCTAAATGAATCTGTCTCTAACATGCTGCCTGCCTCTGCTCCAGGTCCTGTCTTCACGCTGTCTGACAGATACACAGCGAGGACATGTGATCCCAACAGATGAGTGTAATCGTCCTCCTGACAGCAACCACACCTCCAAAGAGCTAACAAAAAGATTAAAATATTTGAACAGGCCTGAGATCAGCTTGTCCTCTGTATTGACTGGAGGATAAGGCTGCTCTTTTTGTTGAGTAATCTGATGAAAGACCAAACCAATAGTCCATCTTTCAACACTCTGATACCCAGTCTGTGACCAAGTACATTTACTACAGATGTAAATCCTTAGCTCACAAATAAATGATTTTGTTTTAAAAGAAGGTCCAGTGATTTCCCAGCAGGACTGTGAGATGAAGTCAAAATAAAGTGGTGTGTGTTGGTGCTGATGAAGGAGCAGTGTGGCTTGGTAATGGGGTTTAATGGTTTCTGTGGACACTGCAGCTCCATGGCAGAGAGGAAGTGTCGGGTATACAGCAGACATTCTTGGTTTAATGTGAACGCTGTTTGAAGGAAAGGAACATTTTTAACAACTGCATCAAACTGGGTTCGAGATAAAAAAAACACTGGATCATTCAGTGTTTTAATAAGTCAGTGTTTCAGTTTATTGTGGCTTTAAAGTTTACAGTAACAGTCATGAGTGCTCACAGTTGATCTCAGCTTCATTTGTCAGACACAGCCCCTTCACATTTACACTTGGTATTAACAGGATCTGAATACTTGATCTAGATGATGACCTCTGATCTATGGTATTTGTATTTGCTTTTCTTTGTTTTTCTTTGTAAGAACGTGGTCATTGGCCTACTTGATTACACTTATCTTCTAGATGTGGTCCGGTCCTTTGTTCCTAAAACATTGAAATGGCAGGTGTACATAAGGTAATAGAATGGGAGGGAACACAGAGATGTTAGCCTTTGCAGACCGTTTACATGCACACAAACATCACATACTACAGGTGAGGGAAACCCCCCAAAAGCAGAACAGCTTCTTTAAAAGATAAATAAAGTAGTCTAAAGAAGACATTATTTAGAACTGAAAGATCACAAGACCTGTATAGACTCACTGTCATGGAGATTCTGTGAGGGTCCTAGGGGTCAGGAGAACTATGAACCCATAGTGCACTAATAATGAAAAAGGCTAGCCACACATGGACTGAAACACAAAAGAGTTGGACAAAGAGAACATTGATGTGAGTTTGGCTAACTGAAGCTGTTCTGAGTGCAAGATGAGGAGGTGGAGTATGATCAATGAGCAGCTGAAGTCAAATGTTAGACTTTAACACCAGATCATAACCTAACCAGTCTTACAAATATAACACTATACTGTGCACGTTAATAGTTGAAAATAATGTAAACCCATCCTCACACTAACTGTTATTCTCCTGCTTATAGCACATAACACATAATATCAATCTACTGGGAAGTAACGGCACCACATGACTTCTGACGATGCCTGCTGTTCACGTTCACTCGCAGGTATATAATGCTAGCATTCTGTCACCTAACTTCGTGAACACTGACAACGTTTTTGGAATTGCTAACAACTTAAAATACGCTAGCTAGCTATCTGCTAACTAGTGAGCAACCTACAGCAGCGGTAAATCATCTGCCTAATCGTAGCTAAAGCACACAATACTGTTGACATGTCAGAACGTAAATTCTATGCACTTTACACGCTCAAATGTAAAGAACTGTCAAGTTTCTCTCATTGGTAAAGACTAGCAACAACTAAACAGCTGATAACACAACTAGTGTGAGTATCTCTGTGTGTACCTCTCATGTTCCTGTCAATGTGTATGCATGCATGTAAAACTGTAACTACAGTAAGCAGATAAACTGCACTGAGCACTGAATAGTACTCTGCGTATTTTCTTGTAAATACTGTCTCTAGGAGAGAGAGCTAGTTAACTGTTACACTGAAACAGATTTCACATAACTGTATGAGGTTGGTTGAACACAATAATATTAAGTTGAACCTAATATTTAGTATTTAAAGTTAATATTATTGCTTTTAACTACCCTAATACAGTTATGTGAAATCTGTTGACATATTACATTTCATTAAAGTCAATGTTTCAGTTTTCTCAGTGTGGTAGCTTCTCAGTGTCTCGCAAGCCTGGGGCTCACTGGACCGAAGTTGAATCCCCCTGGGCCTAAGAATCGAGGATTTTTGTATTTTGCAATTTGTATTTTTAACTGAACACAAGTAGCAACTCTGAAACTCATGGTGTAGTTTGTGTAAAGCTGGTTGAAAGAAAGCGACAGTGTCACAGTGAGTATGAAGAGTGTCTCCTTCTGAACAGCACACGGAGGTTTGTACAAGTTGGAGCATTTGAACCAGGTACCAGGAATAGCGGAGGACAAGAGCAGGGGCGCGGAGATTTTTTAAATGGGGGGGACGAAACAGAGAAATAATTTTCCCGATATTTACTCACTATTTGTTTTATTATGTGTTTTACAATCATAACATTAACCCCTGGGTGGGCACATCAGAATTATCTAAGATGATTTAATTACAACGATCATATGAACAAATGTATATATTGAAAAAAATGATTTACAAAAAAAATAGGGGGAAGGATCAGCATCCCCCCCGTCCCCCCCACTATCTGCGCACCTGGACAAGAGTAACCAACAGTTTAATGTGGTTCTGATGTGAGCTGCAGGGCATCCGATGACCACACAGCTGCGGATTCAAGTGTTGCGCTCTTTAGCCCCCCAGGAGTGGAACTGAACATTCAAACTGACATGTCATTAACAACAGTCTGTGTACATGTGGATAAGCTTTATAGTCTCAATACATTGAATACTATAAAGGGGAACAAATCCCATTATAAAATAGGCTAGTCATTTGGAATACATCTCCTTGAAAAGTTTCTATACAACCTTCATTGCTCGAGCATATAACAGCTAAAAAGGCTCCATTGGACAAATGACTTGTCAAAGGGCTCATAAAATGTAAAAATGCGGCATGTACAGTGTTACAGTGTTACAGTGGTACATTGGTACAGTGTTACAGTGTTACAGTGGTACAGTGTTACAGTGTTACAGTGGTACAGTGGTACAGTGTTACAGTGGTACAGTGTTACAGTGTTACAGTGTTACAGTGGTAAAGTGTTACAGTGTTACAGTGGTACATTGGTACAGTGGTACATTGGTACAGTGTTACAGTGTTACAGTGGTAAAGTGTTACAGTGTTACAGTGGTACATTGGTACAGTGTTACAGTGTTACAGTGGTACAGTGTTACAGTGGTACAGTGTTACAGTGTTACAGTGTTACAGTGGTACAGTGTTACAGTGTTACAGTGGTACAGTGTTACAGTGTTACAGTGATACAGTGTTACAGTGTTACAGTGTTACAGTGGTACAGTGTTACAGTGTTACAGTGTTACAGTGGTACAGTGTTACAGTGTTACAGTGATACAGTGTTACAGTGTTACAGTGGTACAGTGTTACAGTGTTACAGTGGTACAGTGTTACAGTGTTACAGTGATACAGTGTTACAGTGTTACAGTGTTACAGTGTTACAGTGTTACAGTGTTACAGTGGTACAGTGTTACAGTGTTACAGTGTTACAGTGGTACAGTGTTACAGTGTTACAGTGGTACAGTGTTACAGTGGTACAGTGTTACAGTGTTACAGTGGTACAGTGTTACAGTGGTACAGTGTTACAGTGTTACAGTGTTACAGTGGTACAGTGTTACAGTGTTACAGTGGTACAGTGTTACAGTGGTACAGTGTTAAATGAGGTTTACTGGTCGGGGCCACCACAGAAATAGTCTCATTCAGGTAACACTCGGAATCAAAAGTTGGTTGAGTTTATTCTGTTAAAGACATATTTCCCTTTTAGATTTAATGATTCATAAAAAAATATTAGAATGTTCAAAATACAGTTTGTAAAATGTGACATGTCTGTAGCACATGATGTACGCAGCAGAGTACATACGTGTGTGTGTGTGTGTGTGTGTGTGTGTGTGTGTGTGTGTGTGTGTGTGTGTGTGTGTGTGGTGTGTGTTGTGTGTGTGAGTGTGTGTATGTGTGTGAGTGTGTGTGGTGTGTGTGTGTGTGTGTGTGCGTGTGTGGTGTGTGTGTGTGTGTGTGTGCGTGAGTGTGTGGTGTGTGTATGCGTGTGTGGTGTGTGTGTGTGTGTGTGTGTGTGTGTGTGTGTGTTGTGTGTGTGGTGTGTTTGTGTGTGTGTGTGTGTGTGTGTGTGTGTGTGTGTGTGTGTGTGTGTGTGTGTGTGTGTGTGCGTGCGTGTGTGGTGTGTGTGTGCCTCTTGTTTTGACAGCAGAGACAGCAGGGCTGGTTGTAAAGTCTCCTATCTTGTAATCAGGACACAGACACGTACAATAATATTGAAACAGTACACACACAACCGCATGGAGGATGTTACACACACATACACACAATAGTTATGCAGAAAGGAAACACCCACACACACGAACACAAGCACTCAGTGAAGATGTAAGTCAGCAGTCTCTCTGTCCTCCTTCAGTCTGAAGCTGGTCCAATTTCTCTCTCCCTGTGTGTGTTCCTCTCTCCACCTCTTCATCACTCTCTCCTGTAATGAGAGAGAAAAATGGATCAGATCCAAAAAGAGAAAAGTTAAACCAGATGTGTCCTGAGTGAATGGGGAGCTTTTATTGCTCCCTGTTTCTGAATATTATAAACAAGCTGTTAAAGAGAAACGTGTTGAGCTGCGCTGTACAAGTTGATCACATTTCCATCTGCAGTGCCATATAACACAACGCAACTGGGCCCTCAGCATGAATAAGGACTGAATGGATGGATGGCTCTAAAAAAGGCTGGGATTAAAAATGATTTTTTTATTTAGCCAGGTGTGCATGGGTCTTACTGTTGAAGCTGCAGACAATGTTATAACTGGGAAATCATTCTTTAAATGACTTCAATCATTTCCTATAGGCTTTATATTTACATATAACCTGCAACACATCAAGTACAAGGTTAAAATAATCATTCATCTGAAAATCCACTATAGTGTTTAAGCCATTTTTATAGTTCCAGTCGTGTTGTCCATTGTAGTGGAGACAAAATAAAGACATGAAACAAACAGATTAAGACAAATGTCTCTGGAAAGGCATCGTCTGAGTAGAATCTGATCCTCTTCAGAGATCTGAATCATCATCGTCACATGAGGAAGTTGCTGAGTCTCTGTAACAATGTCTGCTTTGATTAGAAACCCTTCATCTCCACGACCAGCAGCACGGCTTAATGCTACTGTGGCTCTGTCCACTTTGGTCCAGACTGAAGTGTTTCAACAAAAATGTAATTGAATTAAAATAACATTTCAACAAGTGAATTTGGAATGTATACCGACCTTCACTAAGAATTTAGTGATCACTCGACTTTTCCTCTGACGCCACAATAAGGAATACGTTTGAGGAGTTTTTAGATGATCCTACGGTGGCCGACTCGACTCTTGCAGCGTTTTGTATTTGCGGTGTTTGGTTCATGCAGCTTTTAGTAAACGCTGCGCATGTTTCCTCAAGTTTGTGAAGATGTTTCGCCATCTCGTGTTTTGGCACATTTGTGTTCATTTGTGTTTTCTAATGGAAATATTTTACAACACGCCACTTTTACTTTTGGTACTTTAAATATATTTTGATGCTAATAATTTTCTACTTTTACTTGAGTAACATTTTGATTGCAGGACTTTTACTTGTAAAAGAGTATTCCTACACTCTGGTACTTCTATTCTACACAAGAACAATATCTGAGTACTACTACTTTTACTAAAGTACCAGATCCAAGTACTTCTTCCATCTTTACCCTTGCTCTTCTTCTATGCTAGTTCTGTGTCTGACCTCTTCCCAGCCCCCCCTCCTCTCTCGTTCACTGGTCTCAGGTGGGTTTCTGCATGGGGGGGGGGGGGGGGGGGTCAGATCAGCATCAGATTACATTGTAAACAATAGTCCTCTGTTTCTTCTCTCCTTTTCCATGCCCTCCTTAGCCTCCTCCTCTTTTATCCCTCTGGCATTCTCACCTCCATTCCCCACACAGTAACCTACCCCCCCACCCCCCAGTTAACACACCTCACTCTGTTCCCTCTCAGTTCTCGTCCCTCAGGATTTCATCTCAAGTCTTCAGTGGTGGCACAGGGTTATGAAAATCACTTCTGTTTGACCTCTACAGGGTAAAAACTGTTTAGTGTTGGAACTATCTATTTTTAGGGAGACCTTGATACATGATTTAATAAAGTAAACCAGAGCAGCTGCATAACTCATTATGTGATCTAAACTTCTTAAATACCTGATTGCATACACGATATTAGGACTAAAACAAATCCTGTATTCCATTGGCTATAACAATCCTACACACACACAAACAAACACACACACACACACACACACACACACACACACACACACACACACACACACACTCAAACTTAAGCCCCCTTATCATCCTCAAGGATCTTTCTTAGCGCATTCTGCCACCAACGCCATCCCCTAATACTGCTGTCACGAAAAGGTGTTTACCTGCGTTTTTATATAGCACTTTCTTTCTGAGCAAACGGACTCAGCTCTGTGAAGCAATTGTGTTCTGCATAAAACAATTTTTAATTGTGTCCTGGTCTGTGATTGTCATTTACAGTAGGTCTGCCTTGGTTACCAAAGAGGCCTGCAGGCCAGGAGGGGTCACACATAGTTAATTATGCATGTTCCTGCCATACAAAGTTAAATTGAAGCTGTGTTATAAAGTGATGTGACAGTTAATAAACCAGTTCAGCCTTTAAGTCTTAAAGTAAAGAAACAAAAATTCCCAATATTTCGACCAACATAATCTAGACTAGATCAATTTATATTCAGTTAAATGCCTAATACAGTTATGTGTAATCTGTTGACATAATACATTTAATTGAAGTCAATGTTTCAGTTTTTTCATTCTTAAGTACCTCCAACTTCTGCTAAAAACTTAAGAAGCTAAAAAAGTCTTGTTTGTGGTTCTCTACTCTCCTCATCTCCTCTGAGCTGAATCTAGATCCTTCCGTATATAGGCCTGTCCCAGATTAGAAACTGAACTGGGTCAGTTCTTCCAGGGCTAGACCCGCTGCAGGGACAGCGTCCAATAAAAGCCTGTCCTCTGTGAGGAAGTGTGCTGAGAGTACAGAGAGAAGTTCATTCTCTCTTATTTTACTTATCACTTTCAGTTCTTGTCAGGTATATGCAGAGGTGGAAGAAGTACTAAGATCTTGTACTTGAGTAAAAGTAGAAGTACCAGAGTGTAGGAATACTCTGTTACAGTAAAAGTCCTGCATTCAAAATGTTCCTCAAGTAAAAGTAGAAAAGTATTCTCATCCAAATATAGTGAAAGTAGCTAAGACAGTAAAAGTAGTCGTTGTGCAGATTGGTCCATTTCAGAATAATATATATGATATGTTTTATAATGATTGATCATGAAAGTGTTCTCAAAGCTGGTAAAGGTGCAGCTAGTTTGAATGACTTTGTATACTGCAGTCTGATACTGTCTGATTTAACACTTGATTTCTCCAGATCTGTAAAGTAAGAAGTACAAAGTAACACAACATTGAAATACTTAAGTAAAGTACAAGTTTCTCACAATTGTACTGAAGAACAGTGCTTGAGTAAATACACTAAGTTACTTTACACCACTGTGCTTATGTTAGACCTGCACAAATCAGTGTTTAATATGAAAAATGGACATAATTACATCATGTAAAGTAACCAGAGTAATTCAGTTTTCAGTTTCAGTCAGCTCTAGTTCTCATTCATCTCATTGTAGCAGGAGCTGCATTACAATTATATTCATTGAGTGGAGATAAAATGAGTCCAAATGAATGCTACATGTTGTCGATGTCTTCAGGATGTGTAACGTGTTTTCTGAATAAAATAATGACCACTGCTTTTTAAGACCCATGCATAAATGTATAGGTCACCAGAGGTGAAAAGTAACTAAGTACATTTACTCAAGTACTGTACTTAAAGGTGGGGTAGCTAAGTTTGAGAAACCGGCTCGAGATACACTTTTTGTTATATTCCATGGAATGCTCTTAACATCCTGATAGCAATGAATATCTTAAGTGCTTTGACAAAAAATCCATAAAGAAATGTCATCTGTGGAAGCCGTAGTACTGTAAAAAGCACGACCAATCATCTGAGCCGGCCCGGCTAAAGTAACTGGATGGCCTACCTGCCTGTCAGCCTTCCATCTGTGCACACACTTATCTTGTGCCTTCATTGGTCATGTGCGCATTCGTGTGTGTTGGAGGAGGGGCTCTGTAAGGAAGTGGCAGATTTTTTCCGGCTGTGTATTTTCAAATTCTAGCGCACTCGAGCTGGTTTCTCCAAAATTACCTACCCCACCTTTAAGTACAATTTTGAGGTACTTTACTTGAGTATTTCTATTTTATGCTACTTAATACTTCTATTCCTCTACATTTAAAAGGGAAATAATATAATTGGACTCTTTAACATTTATAAACAGCTTTAGCTAATTTACTTTTTAGTTAATCAGAAATTGTCAATAAAATGCTACTTGGTGCAACAATATTATCTAGAAAATTACAAAAATATAATTATATACACCCATAAAGTCTATTTTTCTGCACAATGAGTACTTGTACTTTTTATACTTTAAAGGTCCCATGTCATGCTTTTCCGGTTATTACCCGTCCCCTTGTGTTATGAAGGTTTTTCTGTTTCATGTAAACGGTCTGCAGAGTCACAAACCCTCAAAGTACACCCTGTAGCAAGTAAAACTCTAACACAGAGAAGACCTGTCTGTGCTGCCCCAGAACGCCTTGTTGGAGATTTCTCTTTTTCCATTTTTTTCTTCCTGGAACCAAGTGACGTAACGACGACCCCATGGACCAATCCGCGGAGCAGTTATGTTAAGGGCTTAACACACACACACACACACACACACACACACACACACACACACACACACACACACACACACACACACACACACACACACACACACACACACACACACACACACACACACACACACACACACACACACACGAGCTGACCAATCAGAGCACAGTGGGCTCACAGGGAGGGGGGGGGGGCAGGAGCTCCAACAAGGCATTTAGGACAGAGAGTGAATACACATACTATACAGAGATGCTGTGTGAGAAACCAATGTGAGTTTGGAACATTGTAAATGTAAATCTATTCTAGTAGACCTCAACAATGGAATTATGATCAGTAGAAATGGCCATGTTATGGGACCTTTAAGTACATTTTGCTGATAAAACTTTTGTATTTTTACTTAAGATTTTTACAATAATGTATACTTTTCCTTAAGTAAAGCATCTGAGAGCACTTCCACCACTGAGGGTCCCATGTTTAAGGGACTTACTGCACAGTGTGCTGCAGACTAAGGCTTTATTGCACGGTGGATGTATACCCTTGAATCAAACTGTTGTCCTTACACCAGGAGGACCGGGGGGGAGTGTTCTGAGTGGTGATGAAGGTGCGGGTCACTGGAAGGCAGCGCGAACCGTCCGGTCACTGAGCGGCTGCGTGGGCCGGAAGTTGTCCCCCAACATCCCATCATTCCCTTCTTGCAGCTCCGCCCCTTTGAAATGGGATCGCAGCCTCCGAAACTCCTCGATCTGAGGAGGGAAGTATTTATTTATTATTAAGAGGCCAAAATGTTGTCACAGCTCCAGATATCAAGGCTCCACACTACAGATCAATGTGGTCAAAGGATCTGAGTTTGCATACCAAAAGATTCCCTGAACTGATTTCAATGTATTCCCATCTGCGGCGGGATTTGACGCTCATGGAAGCACGGCATTCGTTTGTGTCGGCTGCCCTTAACAATGGTATGCTCATGACACTCATTTTTAAATAATTATCATCCGATAAAACAGACCAGTCTCTGCCAGTCTTTTTTTTAATTGTTTTATCCGATGACATTATCAGTGATTTTAAACTCATTAATTACCGAAATAACATCAACACTGTGGGCGGCGCCATTTTACCGGACGTGACGTAAACCATGCGTTTGGTTTCGAGGACACGTTGATGTTCATGTTATTTACTGTAGTTACTCTCTTCAAATATGCCTCATTGTATCGCGAAACATTGCCACAATTCTGATAGGAACAATCCACGGAATGCTCGGTTCCATCTGTTGCCAAAAGGTAAGCGTAGGAAGTACGTTCGGAGGCAGTGGCTAGCGAAATGTGGCCGGCCCGAACCGAAAGATCCGCAGGCGCATGTATGCAGCGAACATTTCAAGTTTCCGGACAACTACTCTGAGAGTATGATAAAACATAACATGGGATTTATTGAACAACCATTACTTAATGGAGATGCAGTACCATCGGTCTTTCTGGTATCATCACCGACCAGGACACCAGTTCGGCCAGTTGAGAAATCGCCCTCTGCAAGTGTGAAGCGACGGAGGACCAGAAGTAGTGCTCGGAGTAAGAATAAGGTATGTTATAGCGCATTTCCATTGCACCGGGTAGCCCCGTTTAAACGTCCTTTATCGTCCAGGCCAGGCCAGTTTTTGGTGGCCTTTCCATATAGCGTAGTACCGGCTAGTGGGTATTTTCCCCCAGTTTTTCCGGCCCCATAAAATCGTGGTTCTAGGTACACCATTCATGTACAGGTCTTCCTACTCGCCTCCCGAAATCAATTGCACGAGTAAAGGGATTGTCTCCAGCAAGATCACCGTGCTGTTCATCCTCATCGTCACTGTCCCTGGATTCCTGACGGTTCTGACTACTTGGCTCGAACCTGTATGGCTGAATTCCCCCATCCAATCTCTTCATATTGCTCAAAACTTCTTCCTCGGCAGACGAGTCCGAACTCAAATACTCCGCCATGTTTTCGTGTGTTTACAAAGTGAACGCATGGATGACGTCACGACCATCACGTGACTACTGAAAATGGCCAAAATGGCAGCGGCCTGACAGAATATACAGGTTTTGATAAAAAAGAGCTATAAAATCATTATTTACCGGGGAATATCGCTGATTTCTTCAGGGTATGGTTTAAACATAATGTTTCACTAAATACTGAAGTTTTTGATTAATTATCTAATGAGTGGAGCATAGGCAATGTGAGCGTCCATTCCCATTGGATAACGGATAATTGTACACCCGGAAGTAAGTATTCCTCTTACTGTCGATTGATTTTACAGTGATATCTGCACTACTCATCGACTAAAAAACAACAGATTATCCTTGTTAATTACACAACATTGATTGGTTTAAATTGTGTGCAATGCTTTTGTATTTTTCCCCTTCGATTCGGAGAAACAAATATTTTTTCGGAGTAAAGGATGGCAGAAGACACTACACTACCCAGAATCCCCAGCTATTGTTTAGGACTACACCATGTGCTCTGTTTGACAAACCCCGTTTTTTTTCACCATTCATTCCAATGGCTGGCGTCTATGTCACGTGATCTTCAAATTTCTCCCTGCAGAAAAAAATAAACATGGCCGAACTTCGTTTTATTCTCGGTGGAAAATGCCTATTTTAAAGTTAGTTTGGCCATTAAAATTTGTTTTGATGTCATTTGATGCGAGAAATATGAGTTGTTATTTCAGATTATGTGTGCAGTGGATGTACATGATCTTTAGTTTGCTAGTTATTACGAAGATTACTTCAGGAAATTACGTCCATAGAACGTTTTCATTGTTACCAAGGTGGTTGCTAGGGACGCTGCTATCGATATTATTTCTGTTATGTTGTGTAACTGTTTAATGGTGTTATTTTTATTGTTACCCCCTTCCCCGTCAATGTATAGTGTTGGTCCACAGCGCAAACATATTAGTTTAACAAAATCCGCATCTAAATATAGCCTACGTTATTTTCCCCTGTGCAATTCCAGTCTCACATCTCACATCACATCGTCATTAACAAATACCGGAAACAGACCGAAAACATTTAAAAAAAAAATAATACTTTATTCCGAGTGTGCTTGCTTTTCTCTTTGAAAGTCATCACATACTGTAACGGCATTGTAATACACGGTTCGGCTGCATTAAATATTACATATCTGCCGTAGTTCTGTATTTATAGAGCCCTGATGAGAAGACTTCTAGACAACTAAGGAACTGCCGCCAACACTGAATACGTGACGTGGATCATAAATATATCAGTAGTTAAACAACATCTTACATTTCTTTTCACACAATACGTCTCCTTGCAGTATCAACACTAATTCGGCTGACTTTTATATTTGATCCAATTGGTAGATAGGCTGTATTTACACCATAAAGGTGCACAGCTGATATAAAGGGACACCTAGTGGTTAAAGCATGTTATTGAATTTCATTATTTTTATTATTAGATATTAATAGGATCCCTATAAAGTATATTCATTACTCATTATTCTCTACTAATAGTTAATTAAAGATATAATGACTATTTTGCACATCCCTTTCAAGATTTCAAGATGTTCTAAGGTTTATTGACATATAATATTCACAAACGGTGTAGTTATGCAATGAATGAAAAACTTGGGTCGCAGGTTCCTCAACAGTGCATTACAAGACATCTATCAATATGTGTGCATACCTCCAGCAATGTTAACTATGTTGAAGCACTTATTTTAACTAATATTATACATATGTATTATACTCTTATAAGATGTATGTAGATATTTAATCTCCGACCTTGTCAGATATTGAACAATCAATAAATAAAGAACACAGAATTGTTAAATATAAAACACAGAATTTGTGTGATTATACTAAATGATGTAAATAAACACCACTGCATATTTACAACTGTTACACATGCTGATGTAACGCAAATGTTTCCAACTTGGGATCAATAAAGTATATCTTATCTTAAGCTGATCGATGGCTATACTGCCATATTTGCAAAATGTGCCTCTGAACCTTGACAAGTGCATGTTTCAGGCTTATCAATTAATGTAATGTAATGTTATCAATTAACAACAGGGGTCACAAACATAAGACCAGCTGTTAAATAAAGCTCTTCTGACCTTAGCTGGCATGTGGGTATATATATTAATGCTGCCCATTATGGGCACAAGCAATTTTCACCCATTTATTAATTATATGTTTTAAATGTGAGTGTTTCCTATCCCCTAAACCTCCAGGGATGTACACAGTTTAATACTGACAACTTCTTATTATGGGAAATACGAAAACGTCTTTTAAAACTACAACTCCCAGTAGAGACGTGCCATAGATAGAGAACATGTTGCGAAACACAATAGCCAGCATGTGTAGTTCTGGGGACGGGGTGGGGGACGGGGTGGACCCGTTCAAATCCAGTTTTGGACAGTCTGCCGTGGTTCCATCCCATTTCAAGTGCTGTTCGACGCTCGGCGTAACCCTCGGAGCACACTCTCCAATCACAGAGCTTGAGGACTATCACGGGGTTTGTCAAGCGAAGCGGAGAGAATACTTACTTCCCGGTGTAATATTCTCTAAAGCAAATTAGCTGCTCTGACCCTCGGTCCTGACGGACTCCAACTTGTGTTTTATTAATCAAACAAATAAATAAACACAAGGATAATAATGTGTTATTGTTGAGTAAATGGAGAATTGTACAGGGGAAAATAACGTAGGCTATCTACGCCACAATTTTAGATGCGGATTTTGTTAAACTAATACGTTTAAGTTGTGGACCAACACTATTCTTTCACACACAGTGACGTCACGAGCTACCCAAAATGCAACACGCGCCATATATATATATATAAATACCCCATTTTCCTGGAGGTGCAAATATCCTGGAAGTGCAAATATAAACAGCTAGCTAACGTAGCCAGGCAGAGCGCACTAGGTTTTTTTTCTGAATTAACGACCGAAGAAATCGCTGCATGTCTTCGGATTACATCTCTGGACTTGAGGGGTGTGCTCTAGGTCGTTACCAGCGTAAACTAGAGCTGTGTGGGTTGTCGGATTGCCCTTACAGACTGCCTGCAGATGTATGGAAAAACGACCCTCGAAAGTGGCCTTCGTCGATTTTGGCTGCATCTACGTCTAATTTCTGGAAACACCAGGTGAATACCCCACTTGTCACAATAATATTATCATGCCATTGCATATATGTGGTATTTTAGAGTTGACTAGATATTGATTAAGGCAATAGACTATGATATTCAGTACAGGAAGCTTAGCAACACCTAGACGGTGTACGGCTGCCTGCTTGCACCTCGCGTAAAACGGCAGATACCGGAAGTACGGTGTCGCCCTCGGCCCAATACCCGTATGTGTGTGTGAAAGAATACATTGACGGGGAAGGGGGTAGCAATAAAGATAACACCATTAAACAGTTACACAACATAACAGAAATAATATCGATAGCAGCGTCCCTAGCAACAAGTAACAAGTAGTTAATAATAATAAAAGACATTAAGAAAAAGGCATTTTAAACAGTCATTAAAAAGCAACACAATCTACCTGCATTGCATTACTCTAAACGTGTAATAACGTGCTTTAACCAGTAGGTGGTTTGGGTTAAAAAGCTGTCAAGTTTACAATGTTAACAAAATAAAAAATACTGCTGTTTCTGGTTTAGTTTACGACGGATATATTTAGTTATTGTTTTGATATTTGTAACACAAAAGCGATGGAAAAAACCCACAGCAACACAGAAAAGATGGTCTTAACATG